TATGTTTGTTTGTTAGTTTAATTAATTAATTTTTTAGTTTTACTAGGTATAATTGTTATAATTTGACTGCACATATACAATATATTGCATGTAAATACATATATATAATATACTGCACATTTTTTTTAGTTTACATATATGTACTAATCATTGTTTCTAAGAACAGATTAGAGCTTCAGCTTTTTAAACTTACAGTTATCAAAGGAGTAAAGCCAACCACAAAATAAGAGTCAACAGAATGTGGTAATCCAGTCATAAAGGACAGTCAGATGTGCTTACACATGTTAAAAAAATCAAATATCTAAGCTATAAATAATAAGTAGTTCATCTGTGTCCTTTTTTTTTTTAAGATTCCACATATAAGTGATATCATATGGCATTTTTCTTTCTCTTTCCGGCCCACTTCACTTAGAATGACGATCTCCAGGTCCTTCCATGTTGCTGCAAATGGCATTATTTTATTCTTTTTTATGGCTGAGTGGTATTCCATTGTATAAATATGACACATCTTTATCCAGTCATCTGTCTATGGACATTTAGGTTGTTTCCATGTCTTGGCTATTGTAAATAGTGCTGCTATGAACATTGGGGTTCTTGTATCTTTTTGAATTAACATTCCTTCTGGATATATGCCCAAGAGTGGGATTGCTGGATCATATGGTAAGTCTATTTTGAGTTTTTTGAGGAATCGCCAAACTGTTTTCCGTGATGGCTGCACCAAACTACATTCCCACCAACTGTGTAGGAGGGCTCCCTTTTCTCCACAGCCTTGCCAGCATTTATCGTTTGTGGACTTTTTAATGATGGCCATTCTCAGTGGTGTGAGGTGATACCTCACTGTAGTTTTGATTTGCATTTCTCTGATAATTAGTGATATTGAGCATTTTTTCATATGTCTATTGGCCATTTGTATGTCTTCATTGGAGAATTGCTTGTTTAGGTCTTCTGCCCATTTTTGGATTGGGTTGTTTGTTTTTTTTCTTATTAAGTTGTATGAGCTGTTTAATTTATATTCTGGAAATTAAGCCCTTGTCAGTCTCATCTTTTGCAAATATTTTCTCCCATTCC